AAAGAAAGAAAGAAAGAAAGAAAGAAAGAAAGAAAGAAAGAAAGAAAGAAAGAAAGAAAGGAAAGAAAGAAAGGAAAGAAAGAAAGAAGAAAGAAAGAAAAGAAAGAAAGAAAGAAAAAACTGATTTTGTATGAAAACATACTATGGCTGGGGATACAATACTCAGGAGTATAACACTTGCTTGACATGTAAGAGGCTCTGGATTGAATCTTCAGCACAGCCAAAATCAAAACAGCCATATTGGAATTCTATTCTGTCTTGTGTATATATTTATACTTAAAGATACATCTTAGAGATGGCATCTTGTTATGTATCCCAGTGTGGCTTTGAGCATTCCTTCATTCCTCCTGCTTTAGGCTCCTGAGTGCTAGAATTATAGTCATGAGCTACCATACCTGGCTAATGTTACCTCCTGTCATGTTTGGTAGATCCCATTGAAGAAGAAGATGCTAATCTGTTGTTTGGGTCTGTGCAAGAAGTGCTGAAAGCATCAGTCATGGCTGATGCAGATATTGTTTCAGAGACACTGCAGCTGCTGATGGAGTCTGCCAAGGACTTCAGCAAGAAGCTGTGGGGCTTAGTGCCTGTTGACTTGTATCTTCCAGCGCCTCCATTGTACTGCCCCCAGCCAGCTGTTCTTAGCGAGGTAAGCTAGGTGCAGTCTGCTCTCAGTGAAAGCTGATTTTGTCTGTTTTTTAAAATCACCTGGTAATAATGATCATGTTAAAAATACAAGTGCTGAAGATAAACTTTTAGTTTCCAGCATAACTATTTACTAAATATATGGTCTTTAGTAACATACCAAGCAGCTGTTTAAGTAATAGATAACTGTTCTATTGTCCTTAGGAACATGGTGACAATCTTCTTTTAAAAGCTGAAAAAGATAATCGCCAAAAGCTCTCTGGAATTCTGCAGCGAGTTCTCTTGCTTTTCCGGGCAGCTCGGTGTTCTTTTCCTGTAGCACAGTGGTACATCTTGCAGCTGAGGTGGGCAAGAAAGGTCATGCAGAAGGTATGGAATGTCTTCGTCATTCAAGGCTGTGTAAGGTAGCCCAGATGTACTAACATTTACACCAAGTGCTTTTCTAAGGAGTCCTGTCCTGAGTCCAAACTTTTGGGCTTATTTACCATAAATAACTCAGGCCAAGTTCTTGTGGCTGAGAGATGACACTGAAGTGAGGCTCTGGGTGAGCTCACTCTGTGTGTTAATAGAAGGTGTCACCATGGAATACGTTCTTCCAGGCTGTACCTGTTCTTTCCATACCCTCCCCCCCATCTTGGAAAATTTCGTCTGCTTAGGACTCCCCCTCTCCCACTTTCTGGAGAGTGAAGATCTCTGCCCTGTGGCAACTCTAGTGAATTCCAAGCATGGACACTTAAGAGCGAGTTCTTGGTTGTTTACTGTCAGGAGTCTTCTTCACTTCCTTTGCTGTCTTCTGAGATGTACAGTTTGATTCTGGGTCTTCTATGCTCTTCCATCCTGATTTCTACTGATTCTTGTTCTGACTCTGAGTGGGTAATGAGTGGAGTTACAGTTGCAGTTGCAGGCCCTCATCAGGTATTTTAAAAAATTGCCCCTCCCCCCTTGACAAGACAAAATCTTATTATATAGCCCAGATTAGCCTTTAACTCAGCCTTCTGAGTGCTGGGATTCACCTCAGCAAAGATGCATGTGCACACCATGCCTGACCAAAATTAGCTTCAAAAAATATATACGTATGTATGACATGTATCTGCATATAGTTTGTGTATTTAAAGCTGGTGTATGAGTGCCCCAGCCTCTGTGCGAAGGTTCAAGCACACCTTAGATGCCAGTCCTTCCTATTTGTAACAGTTTGCTCCTGCAATTGCCAGGCTAGCTGGCCCTCAAGCTTCCAGTGATTCTCATGTCTCCACCTGTCATCTTGCCATAAGAGCACTGTGATTATAAACTTGTGCTGTGGCCTGCTTAGTTTGAATCCTGGAGATCTGAATTCAGCTCCTAACATTCTCATGGGAAGCATTTTATCAATTGAGCCATTTCCTCAGCCCCAAATTACCTTTCCTTTGGTTTGAGATGGAGTCTTGACTGACCTGGTACTTGCAATTAGACCAGACTAGCCTCCACCTCATAGAGATCCACCTGCTTGTGCTTCCTGAGCACTGAGATTTAAAGGTGTGTACCATGATATCTGGCCAAAGAAGCTTTGTTTGTTTTTTGAGACAGGATTTCTCGGTATAGCCCTGGCTGTCCTGGAACTTACTTTGTATACTAGCCTGGCCTGGAACTCATAGAGATCTACCTGCCTCTGCCTCCTTGAGTACTGGGATCAAAGGTGTGTGCCACCACCGCCCAGCTCCAAATAAGCTTTTTAAAGAGAAAATGAGGTTTAAAAATTCACCTCCCATAAAATTGTGCTGAAATTGTTCACTATCATTACAATAGAGACAGAAAGTAGATGGGTGGTTTCCAGCGTCCGAAGAAGGGAGACTAGAAAGTGACAACTCCTAGTAATTGTGTGTGTGGTTTGATGAGAAAGTTCTTGAATTAGACAGTTATTACTTATGGTTGCCTAACTTAACATAGCAAAACCAGCTAGGTAGCCATCACTCATAAAAGATGAGCCTTATGGTCTTTAAATTTTAACCCCAATTTTAAAAAATGATACTGAATTAAATATCTGTACCATATTAGTTTTCCATTTCTAATGAATTGCCAAAATTTTGTGGCTCAAAACCTTGCCTACTTATCTCAGTGTTTCTGTGCATCAGAAGTCCTTCGAGCTGAGCTGCTTCTACCAATGAGCTATTCAAGGCTAGCAGAAGAACTGGGCTCCCTTCTCTCATCTTGCCAGGAAAATCCATTTCCAGTCTCTTTCAGGTTGTTGACAGTTCAGTTTCATGTGGCCAGAGGGCTGAGGTTCCCATTTCTTTGCTGGGTCTCCCTCTGAGTAATAGCCTGCTAGAAAGTGTTTGATGGAGGGGCTGTCATTAGCATGCTTACAGAGCATTTGATTAGATCCCATCTTTCTTGAAGTGACAGGTAGAAGGAGGCTATAAACTTACCGCTGTGTTTTTTTTTTTTTTTTTTTTGTGCTATCTAGAACAGCATTTGTCTTTAAAAACAAAACAAAATAAAAAATAAAAATAAAAAAACCTGCTATGTTAAAGAAGCTATGTTAGAGTGATTGTCCTGTACTGTATTCTACATTTGTGATATTTGTTGATTTAGTTCTGTTTAGCTTGTTCATTCCATCTAATTTCTAAACTGGCTGTTGATATCTACCCCCTGAAATTCAGAGGTTTGATTGTGTTCAGGCTCAGCTCTTCTTTGAAAGAATCCTTTGTAACTACTGTGTACTTCTCTGTTGCCCCTTTGTCTGTTTCCGTTTCAAATTGAAATAGCCCAAGGAATTTGGGACAAGTCAGACCCTGTATCAAGTTCCCCATCAACCCATCAGCATCCTTTTTGTTTTGACATTTATTGATAGTCCTTATCTAGAGTTGTTATCTTGTTACCAGTTGATGACTTTCTATTGTTGTCATTTATAGATTCATTTCTTCAAGTTATATATGTAAGTAAGGCTTTTAAAATTTGTTTTCGGTACTGCACAGTTAATTTCAGGTGATTTGAATATTTTCTCACTCTTGGCTGCAGGGCTGCTTATGCTGTAGCAGAGGACTGGTGCTGCTTATGTTCTGTGTGGTTTTTCTTGACTACCTTGTATTGTAGTTTTCTGTAAAGATTGTTTACTACTGATGGTTAACATTCTGTCGTTCTTTTCAGATTCGAGTGAAAGGGTCCCTTCCTCCACTTAGTTCTTTCCCTGAATCCTTACTTGATTACTGTAAAGGAGGGATAGCATTCTTTAGACCTGGAGCAGCCGGAGACCACAAACTTGATGAAGTTTCCATCACAGCCCTAGGTTTGTCAAAATGAGCTACTCGGTTAGAATTCAGCTGCATATGAACTGTAATATGTTTTTCACTTGGTCTGGGAAAGTTTCTAAACTAGTAACTCTAGTTTGCTCTTTGACGTACTTAGGGGTTTGCACTTCGACACTCTGACATGTTTATAATAATGGCAGTAAATGAGTCTTTTATTATGTAAGATAAATTGTGACAGTTACGGCACTATTGTTGCTTCCTTGTTTAAATTTGGAATTTTAGCACTCAAGAATACCTTTCTTGTAGTTGTTCCTTTGCAGTGAGGATGTACTTACTGCCATACTGTTAAGTGGACAGACTTTCAACCTGTTTGTATAGATGAACTAATTTTGTTTCCTGTTTTTCAGATTCAACCTACCAACATACATAATATTTTCATACATAGTATTAATTAAATTTGATGGTTTTTATTAGCAAACATCAAGTTGCTTCTGACATATCAATTTTGATAAATATTTTGTAAAATTTTGTTAGAGTCTCAGAAGTGGAATTTCTGAGTTAATGAATTTAGTTATTTCTTAACTCTTGAAATAATATGCCCAAATTTATTTGATGCCAAAAAATTGTCAGCTTTATGTTCATATGCCCTTGTTTTTGAGGTAGAATCTCCCTGAGATAGTTTTGTTTTGGTATATCTTTATTTGGCTTTACATTTTGAGGTAGTATCTCAGGCTCTGTAACCCAGGCTAGCTGAGCTCATGATCTTCATAGGTTAGCCTTCTGAATGCTGATGTTACACATGTGTACCGTCATGCCAGGCAAAACAAGATGGCTTTCTTCTGATTATATTGTCTAATTATTTACTTGTATTTTCTTTTATACATTGAACTCCATTTTTTAATTTGTGTCCAGTTATATGAGTGGACAGTTCTAAATGACAGTAAAACGCTGGAAGACAGAGACAGACATAGAGGGAGGGAGAGAGAGAAAATGTGTGTGTTTTGCAACATTAGGAGTCAGACCTGCGGCCAGGTCTGAACAGAACCATGCCCTCAGGCTGTATGACATACTTAATATTTAATAAATTAGTATTCTGGGCCTGTGTAGTGGCTTGTCAAGCAGAGATGCTTACAGCTTTGCCTAACAGCCTAAATTCAATCCCTGGAATCCACATGGAAGAAAGAACTGACTCTTTCATGTTGTCCTCTGACCTCTACATGAAAGCCTGTGGTACATCTACAACTGTACAAACACACAAACACATTCACACACAAATAAATAAATGTAAAACTTCTTTTAAAAATTAATATTGAAGTTTGGTTTTATAGTTTAATAGATTGAGCAGTACCAAGGCAGGTGAATTTCTATGAGTTCAAGGCTAGCCTGGTCTGCATAGTGAGTTCTAGGCCAGCCAGGGCTACATAGTAAAACCCTGTCTCAAAAAAAAAAAAAAAGTAAAAATGCATATCAATAAGTAGTTTTTAGGTTTGTAGCTCAGTGTTACCTGCCAGGTGTGAGGCCCTGGATTTAATTCCCAGGGCTATAAAAATAAGTGATATTCTAATTGATATACATATAGTTTGTGTTGGAATTAAAAAATATATTATAAATTTATAAGGCAAATAAATTGGAAGTAAATAGATTAAATAATTTACTCTGTAAATTTGTATTCATATCATCATGCAACTGATATTTATAAAATATTCTAGAATAACATATTAAAATTCTGGAAGGCTTTCCATGTACAATGAGCACATTTTTGTTTTGGGTGTTTAGGAAAGTGCATGTGTGTATTTGTATTTATATGTGTGTGCATGCATGCACACATGTGTATCTGTGTGGAAGTCAGAGGTTGACACCAGGTATCTTTCTTGATCACTCTCTACCTGATACGCTGAGCTGCCTCAACTGATCCCAAAGCTCATTGATTGGGTTAGTCTACTTACTCTGGGGACCGTACATCTCCACATCCTTAGAGGTAGGATTACAGCAGGCTGCCACAGCTGCCCAGAATTTACATGAGTGCTGCAAGCCCAAACTCTGATCCTCAGACTTGCCCAGCAACAAGCACTTTACTCATTGATCTGCCCACCGAGCCCCACATTTTTCTTTTATAGCCAACAGAATAAAGACATTTATTTTGAAAACAAATAACCTGCAGATGTAATACTCATATAATTTTCTTTACATTTGTGTTTTTAGGTTGCTTCAGAGAACTTTGTGCTTTGTGCTGGATGTTGCATATCCGGGATAAATTATCATACAGTTGCAGGCAGTATCAGAAAGCAAGAGAAAATGTGAAGGTAGAAAAGGTATTTATCAGCTCAAGAATAGAAAATAAATATCACTTGGGAAATTATTGCTTATTAGAAGAGTTTACTGTTGTAGTATAGTATTCTTTTGAACTTATTCTGGTCTGTCTATGTAAATTGAAGACAATCTTCTTCATATCTGTATAGGACCTTGAAATGGAGTTTGATTCTTGTGTGGTTGAACACTGCTTTCATACGCTGGAATGGGCCTATAGAATGCTACCATTCTCTCGTTTTTTTAATATGGAAGAACTTATTCAGGATATAATTTTGAGCCTTGTTGGAGAACTGCCTCCAATCAGAAAGGTAATATGACTGTTAGCAAAAAATAAATTAAATCTGAATAATAGGCCCTATGGATTTTTGCTGTTTTAGTTAGGGATGATGTTGCCTTTTCCTGTCTGACTGATTGAACATTACATAATATCCTCCAGTTCAGAAAGACAAATACTGTCTGATCTCGCATGGACTCCTGAAGCTCATTGAAGCAGAGAGCAAATGGTAGTTGCAGGGCTAGGAGTATGCTGCAAATAGGGAGGTGTTGGAAGTGTGGTAGAGATGGGTCATGTCATGCCTGAGTAAGTCATCATCTCTTAAGCCTCTGATACCTTCTGTTTCTTGGAACAGTTTCAATAGCTCCTTGAGGCTAATTGACCAATCTCTCTCAGATACATTTCACTGTAATTATTTTCCACAGGAGATAACTTTTCCATAGGAGCTACCTATGTTGGTTCCAAGTACATAGAGAAAAATAAACTATTGTTTTTTTTTTAAGGTGGGGGAAGGAATGAAAAAGTGTTGACTAAAGGATCCAAACTTGCATTTATAAGATAAATTAATGTAGGAGCTGATGTACATCGTGGTGACTATATTTAATATGCTGTGATTTACCTGAAGTTTGATGAAGGAGGTAGATCCAAAGTGTTCTTACCACGCATGTGCACACATATAGTGATTAATGTGTTTGATGATTGATAGGTTAACTTGGCTGAGATGGTTAACATAAATTATACATACTTTTTGTAATTGTCAAATATACGTATTTGGCTATAAAGTATGTAAAATACTTTAAAATACAATAAAAAAGGAAGAAAGAAAATTGCAGATTTCTCGTAGCTTGCTTGAACAACAAAAGATTAAGTAAAAGCCATTAATATTCTGACTTAAATTGTGTAAAGAATTAAAAGGAGAAAGAAAAAGACTAAAGTTGCTCATAAAATGTTACTTTTTTTCTGAAGGTAGCAGAAATTTTTGTGAAGGCATTTCCTAATCCTGAGGCCATAAGGGTCCCTTTAAGAGAAAAATACCACTCTCTTCATCAGAGACTCAAGCATGGTGTTGTGAAAGGTAATTGTTATTTCTTACAGTGAAAGGATACATTGTTGAGGATTTATTTTTATTTGTGAGTGTATGCCATGTATATGCAAGGGCATTTGGAGACTTCAGTTCCCCTGGAACTGGAGTTACAGACAACTGAATTGTACGATGCGCATGGTGGGAACTGACACCAGTCCTCTGGAAAAACATCAAGTGCACTTAACTGCTGAGGCATCTCTCTAGCCCCAGGATGCTCTTGTTTTGAAAGTACCTGTTGTCTGCCACCTAGGTATCTGAATTTCTGCCTCTCCCTAAAGGTAAAGAGTGAGAAAGTGGTTGCATGACCCATTGCAGAACTAATTTTGTTAGTGTGGAATTGGATGGAGCTGCCATTACATCATAGCTCTGTCAGTAACCGTGCCTTAGGCAGATTCTCAATCTTTTTAGGCCATTTATCTAAAAAGGCCTCCTTTTTTTTATAAATAATCACTGTGTATCGAGAGAAGATTAAACAAGATAAGAGATAGATATGAAATGAGTAGATAGTCTGGGGTGTCCTGTGGGAGAATCACTTGGACCCATGTTTTCAAAACCATCCTGGTCAACACAGAAAATTTTCCCCTCTAAAAGGAAACAAAACAGAGCATGTCATCTGTTTGTACCTCATGTACTTACTGAAAGCTCATTTTTCCTCTTTGCTTAAAGCTACTTATGTTTTTATTTTATCTTGTGCATTCAAGATGGCCTTGTAGTTTGTTTTGTGTGTGTGTGTGGCAAAATATATAGAACATAAAACCCACCACTTAACCTTTTTCTTTCTTTCCTTCCTTTTGTGATGATGCGAACAGACCCGTGGCCTCTTGGCTTCTTGCTCATGCTTTACTACCAAAGTATACCAGCCACGGAGAATCGCTTGTTGTTGTTGTTTGTTTGTTTGTTTTTACCACCAAAGAACACCATCCATGGAGAATCCTTTTTTGTTTGTTTTTGAGACAGGGTTTCTCTGTGTATCCTTGGCTGTCTTGGATTTGCTTTGTAGTCCAGGCTGGCCTCAAACTCACAGAGATCCACCTGCGTCTGCCTCCCGAATGCTGGGATTACAGGCATGCGCCACCGCACCCAGCTCACTAGCCATGAAAAAATCTTAAACTATCTTTTTCTTGTTTTTCTTTTTTTAAGGATTTATTTATTTAGTGCATGTATGCCTGATGACAGAAGAAAGCATCAAATCCCATCATAGATGGTTGTGAGCCACCATGTGGTTATGGGGCATTGAATTAAGGACCTCTGGAAGAGCAGACAGTGCTCTTAACAGCCATCCCTCTAGCCCCTCCTTTTTCTTTTCTTTTTCAGAAGTACAACTGTTTTTTTTATATAATCTTGAAAACCGTAACCTTGCTATTATTTCTGATTACTTAGAGTAAGAAAGCCTTCATTTTTTGCTAAAAATATTCTCTTTTCTCCATTTAGTGGGAATAGAAAATAATCTTTGTCATTCTTTATTCATAATTGTTTATCTTTTTAAGGAAAATGATGCATTTTATTTGCTCGTTTCTTGTATTGAGATGCTATACAGTGTCATCATTGACCTGAGCTTCTTTACGGTAGTCTTTACCTATTAGACAACCGCAACCAGTCATCTTCCGGGCTTTTCTTCTAACCCAGAGACCTACCTACTCCCTTAGTTTATCTTTGTCATCAACCTTAGTTAGGTTGACTTGGTGCTCTGTACAAAAGACCTCAACTAGCATCACAGAGTAGTTTTTCACAGAGAGATGCAAGCACACAAAGATGGGCATGGTGCCTGTCTAATGCTTTGGCAGCTTCATGAGTTAGGCCATCGTGGTGAAGGAGTTCTTCAGGACCTTTTTCAGAAAGTCCTATTAGTATCATACTTCCATCAGAAATACCTTCAGTAGTGGGGTTTGGTTGGTTGGTTGGTTTTGAGATGGTCTTCTAATCCTCCTACCTCAGTCTCCTGAGTTGATATAAGATGTGTAGGTGCACATTTTTATGCCTACCCAAAAGTTAATTTTCCCTTAGGATATACTTTTTAAAAAGAGGAGGGAGGGAATCTGGGTTCTTTGCCTTTTATTATTTCTTTTTTTTGTTTGTTTGTTTTTTTTAGTATTTATTTTTTTAATGTATATTAGAGTGCTCTGTTTTTATGCACACCAGAAGAGAGAATCAGATCCCATTAGAGATGGTTGTGAGCCACCATGTGGTTGCTGGGAATTGAACTCAGGACCTGTGGAAGAGCAGCCAGTGCTCTTAACTGCTGAACCATCTCTCCAGCCCCCTTTTATTATTTCTTAATGGACCTTATTCAGCTTCTGCACTTCTGAAATGGGCCATAGCTTTCCAACAAATACTGAAGAAAACATCATCTGTAAGAATGTGTAAATAAACCTTAGTAGTTAGTTTGATTCCATGTCCCCAGGCAGAATTAGGTCCCTCTCTTACTCCCTCTCTTTCTTTGACACAGCCTTACTGTGTAGCCATGGATGTCTGGAACTTAGTGTGTAGACAAGGCTGGCCAGAACCTGTTCTGATCCTCTTGACTCTGTTCCTGAGTGCTGGCATTGCTATCATATACTGCTATGCCTGCCTTAAATCTTGAGTTGAAACATTTCTATGAACATAAGGTCTTTGGATTTTTTCCCCCTCCCTAGGTCCTCAGAGTGAGGAACTGATGTCTGTGGTCATGCATTCTGCCCATAAAGTGAGGGCAAAAGCCCTAAAACGTGTGCAGAGGAACATAGGTGCCTTTGAGGTGAATATATGGGAGCCGGATGAAGAAGAAAAGCCAGCTGCTGCTCCATCTTCTGACAGGTTTTCTCTGGGGACCAGTCTAAGCAGAAGCACACTCACAGAACTGGGAAGTTCTCTGCTACACAGTGAAGCAGATACATTCTCTGAAACCTTGTCTTTTGAGGAAAAAACTTGGATACACTTATATCAAAGGTACATCTGGGAGCTCCTTAATACAAGTACCCACTTCCTCTGGAACAGAGTGCAAGTGATGAGCTGATTTTCAATCCCAAAATGTCAACAATAAAAAGTAGATAAGTACACAACTCTGCACTCAAAAAGGCAGGCCTTGAACTGAGAGCTCTGCCTGCCTCTGCTTCCTGAGTGCTGGGATTAAAGGTCTGTGCCACCATGCCCATCTTAATCTTTAGATTTAAGTACAAGTTGAACATAGTTAATTTGAAAACCTAAAATGTGAAACTAAGCTTCAAAATTCAGTAACGTAATGGAAGTTGAAAATTCATGCTTCATTTTCTATGAGAGGTCAAAGTCAAAATGGAGGCACACTAAAAATGTATACACTTTCCTTCAGGCCACTAGGTATAAGAATTATGGGATTATTTGAAACATAGATGGCTCTTGTGTTTGTTTTGTTTTTAGTGCTGGGGCTAGAACCCAGGCCTTGTACATTACAGATGATTGTTAACATACTTGGGCCTTATCCCCAAGACATCTCATTACATATATGTAAATATTAGCCCTCCACCCCCATCAATAACAAAAATAACCCTCCGACTCAAAATACTTCTGGTATTCTAAGAATTCCAAATAATGGGTACTCACTCTGTAGTTTGAAGTGATTAGGTTAGCCATGTTATGTTTGAGGACCCAAGAACTTGTACACTGTTTAGAACTCTTGATAAATTGTGGAGAGATTCTTTCTTGTTGTCTAAACCTGTGATTTAAGCTCCTGGGTTTTGTTATTTTGGTTAAGATTCTAGTAACTACAATGTAATATATCCTCTTGTGACTTAAAACTATATAGTCAATAATAATTTTCATTTTGATTAAGTTAAATTATCATATCTACTCCAAGCATACTTGAGCCATATCTAATAACATTTTAATAGCTTGTTTAATAAAACAGCTGTGCTTAAATACATAGGGATATCTTGCAGGTTGCTTTGGTGCATTCTGGGTAAGAAAACGTTCACTGATTGATCTGGGCCCAGCTTCCTCGCAACTTTTCTCTTACTGAGAGATCTGAGAAACTTTTCTACCCTAGCAATTGTGTTGAAAGAGTCACTTGAAAATAATTGTGGCCGACAGCTAGGGTGCCTGTCAGCAGGTGTCATAGCACTTAATTGTTTTCATTGTCATAGTTTTAAAACTATGTGTACTGGAAAAAACATAGTACACAAAAAAAAACAGTACACAAAAAAACATTTGTGTACTGGAACTCAAGGAATTGTACTACTTGTTTACACTGTATAAGGTGGGGGAGGGTAATGAAACAGTGGAAAGAGAAGCATGGAACACTGTGATGGCTTGAGATTTTTTTAAAATTTAAAATATGGTTTTATTGATAAAGATATTACCACAGGAAGTCAACAGACACAATACAGGGATCAGAGTCAGTCGGGAAGATTTTTGTTGACTTTAATTTTCTATGTTTTTATGTCAGAGGACCATTTTTCATGGACATTCATGCTTTTTATTTTTATATTTGTGTGTGTTGTATGGGGGATATGCATATGTCATGGCATTCCTGTGGAAGTCAGAGGACAATTTGAGAGATTTGTTTTTTCCCTTCCACTGTGTGGGTTCCAAACTCAGGTACCTTTGGCAGCAGATACCTTTACCTGCTGAAAATAAAATGTGTAAACACATTTTTTTTTTTTTTTTGTTCAAGACAGCGTTTCTCTGTGTAGCCTTGGCTGTCTTGGACTCACTTTGTAGATCAAGTTGGCCTAGAACTCACAGAGATCTGCCTCTCTGAGTCCTGGGATTAAAGGCATGTGCCACCATGCCTGACCAAAATATTTACTTTTACTCTATGTGTATCTGTGTGTACCAGGTGCATGTCTGGCTCCTATGGAACTAAGAAGAAGGTAATTGATCCCGAACTGAAATTACAGATAGTTTAGAGCTGCTCAACATAGGTGTTAGGAACCAAACCTAGGTCTTCTGGAAGAGCAGCAGGAGCTCTTAACTGTTGAGCCAACTCTCCGACATCCTTTCCTGTCAACCTGATAGAATAGTCTGCTTCTTAGAGATCATCTTAGTTCATCATACTTCATTTAAAAGATAGGAGTTAAACACAAAAAAAGATTAAATTTAAAAATACAAATGTTTTAAAAATCCATTATGAGATCAATTTTAATAATTAATGGTTAAGTTAATCTTTTTTTTTTTTTTAACCGTAGACATGCCCCAAATCATATGGAATTAGCATTGGTTGGTAAGCCCAGTGATAAAACGAAAATGCGTAATCAGAAAGAAAACTCCCAAAGGAAAGAAGATCATGAAACATTAGGGAAAAAAGCACTTCCTACAATTGGTGTTTGGGAATTTGAGCGTGATGATGATGAATATATTAACTTCCTTGAGCTCTTCTTGAGTTATGTTCTCGAAAAAGACATTTGCTCCAGTGATCCTGGCATTCCATTTTTGACAGGCTTTTCTGGGCACCTTAGAGAACACGAACTTAATTCTTTACTTTTTGATGTGCATACAACATTAAAACGACGCCACAGCAAAGCCAGAAGCGAAAATGTGTATAGAGCTGGTTCTTGCTTTGTTGTCACTCCTGAGTCTCATGAATCTGAAAAACTGTCCTCTCTAGACAGTGTGGGTGTCCGAAATTTAGAAAGCCAGGCACTTTCAGCTTCAGAACTAGTGAACCAGTTGGCGAGCAGTTCAGAGAACCCTCTACCTGAAGTCAAGAAAAATGAAAGAAAGGTGGGATTGTTTGGCTTAAAACAAAAACCAATTTATAGAATTCAAGCTGAGAAACAAGAGAAACCGCTAATGCAGAACTCATTAAACCACTCCTTTTGGATCCCCAAGTCCATCAAAACTGGAAGATACAATTTCCGAGCACTTGAGTGCAGTGCTGGCAGCCCTCAGGAAGACCTTCCCCCGGCACTTCAGAACGTGCTCGGTGAAGCAGGGAGACTGGTGGAGTGGATGATACGGTGGTCTGATCGAAGACTCCTCTGTGATTCCGGAGTCACCCGGTCTTCCTGTAAATACAGCCCAGTAATTCGTGTAAAGACCTCTACAGCTGCCATTCTGACCTCATTATGGCTTCTGGAACAATCCTATTCTGCTGCATATAGGGCAAAAAATGGCATTATTAAGGTAATTGTATGAACCCCTCAAAACAGATAAAGTATCATTTTAGTTTGAAACTGTTGTTTGCACTTTAAAGAATCTGTTAAAGTAATAGAAAATTAATGTCAGTGTTGGTGATATTCTGTATTAGCCAGTGTATTCTTTTTTTAAAAAGATTCCTTTCATTCTTTAGGAAAATTACAATGAAAATGTCTTTAGGGGGTCCACGGGGATTTTATTTTTTATGTTGTTTATACACAGTATAAAGGAAGAAAACAATTCGTTGACATTATAATGCTCTTACATTCACATTGTTTTCTCTTTTAAGTTTCAGGTGTTGGTTGATAAAAGGGACTAAGTCACTCGGTTCTTATTACTGAAGTTTTCAGCAAATGCATTGGGTTTTTACTTAGACAAAGGTCAAAAACCCTGATTTAGAAAAACATATGTGGAAAGCTGATCAGCTTCTCTGCATGTCAGTGGCAAAGACCTTCATCCTAAAACAGTGCTGAAGAAACGTGTGTATGTGTGTGCATTAATTTTTTGTGGTCTATCAATGCATTTTTTTCCTTAAAAAAAAAAAAACAGTTCATATTATTTTTATTTTATTTTTTATTTTTGAGACAGGGATTCCCTGTGTAGCCCTGGCCGTCCTGGACTTGCTTTGTAGACCAGGCTGGCCTCAAACTCATAGAGCTCCGCCTGCCTCTGCCTCCCTGAGTACTGGGATTACAGGCATGCACCACCATGCCTGGCTTAGTTTCTGTTACCTTAAGTTAAGGAAGTTATGTGAATTGAGAGTACTTGTTTTTTTTTGCAACTTGTGTTTCTAGGTAATGTATGTCTGAGTTAGACAGAATAAATGCATTATTTGTATTGTTTTACAGTTTTTCTGTTTATTTTTATTTCATGTGTATCTTTCTGCCTACATGGATATCTGTGCACTACACACATGCAACACCTGAGGAAACCAGAAGAAGGTGTTAGATCCTTTGAACTGGAGTTGTAGGTGGTTGTGAGTTCTGAAGCAGGTCCTGGGAATCAAACCCAGGTCTTCTGGAAGAGCAGCCAGTGTTCTTAGCAACTATCACTTGTATTTTTAGGTGCACGTATTTTTAACACTGTATAATCATGAAATAATCTTGTGTATGTGTCCTGAGGCAGGAGAGGGAGTGAGAGAAGAGAAGGGAGAGAGAAGAGAGACAGAGTGTGTATACACCTGTGTTCACATAGGACTGAGGTTGACCTCATATGTCATTGCTCAAGTGCTGTCCATCTAGCTTTTTCAGACTGGGTCTCTCACTGGCCTGGAACCTGCTGGGAAAATTGGCTGCCTGGCCACTGAACCTAGGGATCCTCTCTGCCTACTCACAGCTGGGATTACTAGTGTGTGTTATCATGCCTGGCTTTGTTACTTGAGTTCTAGGATCAAACTCAGGTCCTTGTACTTACATGACAAGGAATTTGAGGACAGAGCTATCCTCCCAGTTCCCAAATGTCATCATAATGGCAAACAGGAATATGAGTACATTCCATTTTTTAAAACTATTGTTGTTTTATGGACTGAAAACAGAATTGTTATAGGTTAACTCTGTGGGGAAATGGTTTCTTTTCTTTTTCTAGTCTTCTGTCTAGCCCTGGCTGTCCTGGAACTCACTGTCCAGGCTGGCCTTGGACTCAGAGATTCACCTGCTTCTGCCTTCCAAGTGATGGATTAAAGGTGTGCACCACCACTGCTGTGCTGAAGAATGGTTTCTTTTTGTGCTTTATTTAGGAAGTCAGATTTACTTTTTCCAGGTAGACTAAAGATTTGACCATTGCTTTTAGAAACAAATAATTAGCTGTACAAATACAGCAAATAATGAATGTATAGGAGAATTAATCAGTTCTATGAAACATTTAAAAGTGTGCTTTTAAAAAGTGATTTAATACTCTATACAACATATATATATTTGTTTTATTTTGTTTTGTTTTTAGGAGATAGAGAATCATTGCTCCAAGTCTGAAGTGGCAGCCAAGAGGGAGAGCAACACTAATGCTGACTCTCAGGTTGCAGGAGCAGCTCAGGCTATAACTGAGGAAAGAAGTGACCAGAATGAATGTTGTCAAAGCATCTGGAAGTAAGTTACTATGCCTACCTTCCTTTTCAGTGAAGTCTGTTGGCTTAAGAAGACTTGAGCTCTTAAAAGTAAAAGGAATGAGCATTTCTTTCATCTATAGGAACACAAAGTAAGTTTCCTGAAGTGCTTTTGGCAATTCACTGTAAACCATGTTTTTTCCATATTGGTCTAGCATGTCTTTTCTGAGGGAGGAACTAATTCCTCCTGAAAGACCCTTTACTATGAGGCAACATTATTAGGAACAATATTATTCTTTGAACTGTTGGTCAGTTTTCTGTCACTATATTTATATACCTGAGGTAGCCAGCTTATGTATGAAGGGTTTATTTGCCCACTGTGTTCAAGGCTCCACTCTGTGGTTGGTGCCCTTATTGCCTTAGGTTTGTGGTAAGACAGCACATCATGATGGAAGGGCTTGGCAGGAAAGTCCAACTACTTCTTGGCCAGGAAACAAAAAAGAAAGAGGAAGGGGCCAGGTCTCATCATCCTCTTCAGAGACACACATTCAGCGACCATGCCTCCTCAATGTTCATGCTTCTTAGACCTTCTTCCTCCTCCCACCAATGCTGCTCTGTTAGCTAAGCCATGGACAACAATTGCCATGGAGAGACAGTAACCTGCATATGATGAATACCATGGCAAAAGCTTGAAGATTCCTTTGTGAGGACACGAATTTCAGATAAGCTGAATTTACTCTAATGTTTTGAGTAAATACCTTCCATGTATCAGAAATGTAAAAAAAATTTTGTAAAAAAAAAAAAGGCTTAGAAAATATAAAAATGAATTTTTTTCATTGCTGGAAAAAAATTAAATGAAAGGAAGCTGTTTGTCTTCAAGAGTGTATTTTAATTTTCATTGCTACCTTTTCGTTAGTAGAATGCCAGATGAAGCAGAAAATCCTGACGTGAAAGAAAGTGATGATGAGATTCTTCCTGTTACTCATAAAACTGAGAAAGAACTTGTAGATGTTCATGAGACTCACTCAGAAGTAGAAACACTCACACAAGATGAAATGGACATGCACATCTCAGACTGTGAAGGTCAGCTTATGTAGACCATAATTTTCATTTGGTGTCACTAATTTATACTTGATAACATCTAAAATAACTCCTTTAAATATGTTTGTCTAGAACATAGCCTAAAACTAAAAGATTTAAGTGGTATTTTTTGAAATGCAAAGCGTATTAACTTGTAACTTGATTTTCAAATAAAACTAAGACAATGCAAGAAAGTTTTATGTTAGTAGCTTTCTGAGCTGAACCTCTTGCCATGCCCGGGTAGTGAGTATCAGCCTCTTGATTCCTAAGCCTCTAAGCCTCTAAGCCTCTCCCCAGCAGTGACACTTAGAATAGAACTCTGGGAACTTGGACGTACACAAACTGATACAATGCTTCTCAGGGCTCTCCTGGGATTTACTTGATGAAGAGGAAGTAGTCTCTAGGAGATTCTTGAAATGTGTTTGTATGGGGTTAGAAAATATATGTCATATTGTTTCCTGCAATATCCCCTAAATCTTAGGAAGAGAAAGACAAACTGAAAAGATTATCTTTAAGGCTCAGCATTCCCTTCATTTTCCATACTTCTAGAAGGACCTGTTGGGATTCTCAGAGATCCTCTTGCTGCCATCTGCATGCCAGCATCACAGCTCTTATCAGAGGTAGGTCAGTGAGCAGCACATACGAATATGTATCTTTGGGTTAGTGTTAAGATTGCACCTAAGTGTGCTTATCCCGTTGTACTGTATGTTAAGGCAAAGCTGCTGTCTGGCCCAGATGCACTGACCTGTGTGCTGAATTTTTCTTTTTCTGAGATTCTACTCTTATGTGTCCAGTGCTTTCAGACACTGAAATGTTCTATTTCCTGATGTACTTCAGCAAGTTAGTGATGACCGTGTCCTTGGTCATGAAGTGTGGTTCACAATTTCTATGTATTATTTGTTTTCTCAAAACCAAATTTTTATGTAAAACATAGACCTTTCCTGTTATTTTAACACTTGTTCCAAAAACTGTTTGTTTTTCCTCATTTTGTGGTGGTTTTCATAAGTTAATGTACAAGTAATTTATAAAAGAGTCTACGGGCAACACCTCACCTTTCTACTTTAACACTTAGTAACTCATACTGATGGCTAAAGGCAATCACATGGATAAAGACTTGGTCACAGCAGGACTGAGCCTTTTAAGGCTCATTTTGTCACTTGCTTTCAGACTGGTATTTAATGTGAAATTCAAAATACCCAACAACAGTCATCCTTTTGTTTTTTTCTCTTCATTGTGGGTATGGGCACTATTGATTTTTACAGCATTCTACAGAAGAGGTTCAGTGTCCCAGGAAAGAACCATTGGAGACCAATATGGATACAAAATTGACAGAACAGAAAGGGTAAGGAAAAGAAAGTATGATATGTGTCTTTGTCATTGTCCTGTTGCTGTGAAGAAACATCACTTCCAAGGCATCTCTTATAAAAGAAGCCATTTAGTTGGATGCTTGCTTATAGTTTCAGAGTCTGATTATAATGGCGCTGGAGCAGTAGTGAGAGCCTTACATCGTGATCCACAGGCAGCATGTGGGGAGAGAGACATACAGAGAAAGAGACAAGACCTGCTGTGGGCTTTTGAAACCTCAACCTCAGTGCCCGTCCTCAGTGACACACCTCCACGAAGGCCACAGTTCCTCCAACTAATTGGAGAGAAAGCCTTCAAACATTTGAGCCTTTGGGGCCCTTTCTCATTTAAACCATAACACTAGGATTATCATCCTGTCAAGTGTTAAGTGTCATGACTAAAGGCATGAGCCGCCACACCTAGCTGAACCTTTTCCTTTGAGGTGCTGTGGATTGTTTCTAGGGCCTTACACATGATGGACAAGTACTTTACAAAGCTGTATCTTCTGTCCACTAAAGAATAAATTAGTGCCCTGTGACACCATTGTAAGTTAGAGATCCTTATATTTGTAAAAATTAGTCTTTATGGTTTAAATGCATCAGTAGATTCTTTGAGTAAAGTACTGCTTATTTTTTAGAAATATGGGTCATAGCTGACTTCATGTCCCCTAGTTTTAGTTTGTATTTTTGTTGCTGATCAATCAGTGCTGCTTGGGTTGTATATTAAGTCATCGAGTCTTGGCTGTTGTTTGAATCTGTCACTAATTGCTATGGAGACCAGTGTAAACAGATTGTGATTATGAGCTAAACATTACAGCACTATTAGAGGGCTGCATTCTGAGGTGGTGGAGCAATACTTCATGTGCTCCTTTGAAAGTGTAAAGGGTATCTTTCTCTTAATCACTTATTTTTATTTGTAGTATGATTGAAGCCTTGTCAAATTCTGAACATACCACTTCTCATTCATTTTGTATAGATGCAAATTCAAAAACTTCTAGGTAAGTATCTACTATACAATTTTGAAATCATGTTTTAAAAATAAGAGACTATGCCTCCTGTGCCAGTATGAAATAATTGCCAAATGTTTGTACTAAAAACTGAGGAAATAAGCAAAAGTAATATGATGCATTGGAAGAGCAACATAGGCACCAGGTTTTGACACCCCAGTTAATTATTTACAGATTTTCCTATATCTGTTTTAAAGACATGGGGAACTATGTTGGGATAGGCTTTTCAGGAAATAAAAAGAATTAGATATATTATTGAAATGTTGATCCTGTTCATCTTCTGATTCATAATAGCATAAGAAATGCTTTTAGCTCATTTTAGTATTCTTTCCTTCATTTTGCTGTACTGGGTGTTGGACCTGAAGCCTCAGGCAGATAAGCTGTCTACCTCTGAGCTACCCTTAACCCAGGACCATCCTCCCCTATCATTAGCTCCTGAGAACGGAAGAGAGAGGTCAGGCTGCTGTGCTGAAAACTTCATTCTCTTTAGGTTTATCTATTTTGTCTTTTTAGTTTCTTCTATAGAAGTTAATCAGAAGGCTTAGAAAATTTGCCAAGTTAGAAGGAAAATTCAGTACAATTTTGTATGAAAAAAATTCTCAGAATTGATCTCCTTGCTAGCTGATGAAAGTAGAGCCCAGTGAAGGTGTATAAGAATTGTCGCATCAGTTATAATGTCTGTTTTCATAGATTTACCACATAAGGGCAGCTTTGTTTTTAAGCATGCTCATTGCACACCAAAGAGAAAATAATAGTGCTGAAAGGGGATGAATGTAAATTCAAATCTATATGCAGTTTTGTATGCTTTTTTTTTTTTCTGTTTGGAAACAGAAAATTTGAATATTATACTTGCCTCTTCACTTATTTAGTTTATGAAGTTTATTTGCTTAGAAAATACTGAAAGGCTAGGTGTAGAGGCACATGCCTTTAATCCCAGCCCTTGGGATGTAGACACAGGCAAGAGCTCTGTAACTTAAGGCCAACCTGGTGGTCTTAGTGAGCTCCAGGTTAGCCAGGACTATATAAAGAGGCCCTATTGAAGGAAGGGATAGGGGTAGGGGGAGAGGAAATAAAATACTGGAGATTTACTATGTTTAAGGAATCATTTCTCGATAATTGTTTTGTTAAAAAAAAAAAAAAACAACCCAGACAAACAAACAAAAAACCAAAACCAAGACCAAAGAAATTGCTTTGGTCTTTAATTTTTAGTTTTAAATTTAAGTATCTTGGTTATGGTTTATTATGATGGAAACTGTGGTTCGTTTGGAAATGAAATGTTCACAGTTTTGTGGTTTTGTGTTTAATAATTATTATCAGAGTCATTTGTGCTAATAACCCTAAAAATAAACATTTTTAATAATTTTTTTTTGTCTTAACTATGTTCTGTTGTTAATTTTAGTGAGAATTTTATTCCTAAGTACCATTAATAAGGATGATTGTGTAGATCTCAGACTCAGATGCTGTCAGGACACAAGGGCGTGAGCATGTGCAGGCACTTGCATGATGGGTGTTAGGGAGCCCTGAAAAATACCTGAATAACCTTTAAATCCATGGAGAAATTGTGTCTAAATATTTAGATGATAGGTAGCCAATTGTTTTGGATTTTGTTGTTGTTGTGTTGATTACTGTGTGTTTTTATTTGGATGTTTTCCCACAGTGCACAGATTTCTGAACTTAAAGACAAACCATCCACAGCTCCACCCCTCATTTCAAGTGGAGCCCATGCTGCTTCCCAAACACCTGTTCTAACACCTCAGAAGACTCAGGGAGATGAGCTCACTGTTCAGTTTACAGATTCTTGTGACTCTGTTAGGCAGATGCTCCAAGAAGAGATGTTTAAATTAGTTCAGGTAAGCATATGGCTACACAAGTCAATCTTTACATTATATATAATTTAAAATTAGCAAACTGGAAATGGTCTAAATGGAATTTCTAAATAGTCAAAATGGAATGCATTTCTCTGCTCTTATGAGTCTTTGTATTTGAAAAGCTCCTGCTCTGGATCTATAGTCTAGATGCATCTACCTATAATACAGTGACTTACTTTTCTGGGCATTTCAGTTGAGGTGTGAGTAGGTTAAAAAAAAAAAAAAGTAAAACCCAAATGTATTTTCCTTTCAAGATAGGGTTCCTCTGTATAGCCCTGGCTGTTCTGGAGCTCATTCCATAGACCACCCAGCCCAAGTGATCACTTTGATTTCCACTATCTTTTTTCCCACCTGTGCACATTGTTTCCTTTTAACCAGTAGTTTGTATGTGTCTGTGTAGACGTATATGCATGTGAGTGTATTGCCTACAGAGGCCAGAAGAGATCATCAGATCCCTTAGAGCTGGGGTATAGGTGAGCTGTGAGCTGCCTGACATGAGTGCTGGGGGAACCAGCTCAGGTCCTCTGCAAGAACAGCCTATGCTCTTAACCACTGAGCCAGCTTTCTAGCCCCTCTTTTTTTCTCTCGAAACATATCCCTCATTTCTAATTCTCTACTCATGTCTATACTCACTTAGATATCTTTGTGTGTGTATGTACACAAAGATAATCATACATACATATACATATATATGCCATTTTTCTATTAGTGATTTTTGGCGCTAATTTCTCATTGAACCCAGGAGTCGTGGTGAAAATACTTTTCAGCATGTCCCATGAAACGGATTTTATCCTTATTCTTCCAGTTCCTTCCTCTGTTCAGAAATACTACCTTCTCTACCAGCTTGAACATGAAAAGTATTTTCAAACTGTTGTATGAGTTACTGGGGTTCTACCCGCTCAGTGTTCTATATATTTAACAAGTTTTCCATGGATTCTAATGTGCATGCAAGATTGAATCAAAGAGTCATCTTTGCTTTCTTTCATTATTCATTCAATTTCAGCATGTCCTTTTTATACCCCTCATCCCATTGTTTTTGTTCTTGTTTTGACAAGATCTTCCACTGTGTTTACTATATACTCTTGATTGTTTGGCCCCACACAATATATGTGACTTTAGTCTCATTACTTCTGTATCTCTAGCCAGCCTTAGATCCTTAGGATTTCATATTTCATTGAAATATATATGTGTTTTATAAGACATTCTTTTGATATAATTCTGGTTTCCCTTTAAAATCTTTACTAAAGTTCACTTACAGATTTGGGCATTAAATGCTATCAGTTTTGTTTTAAACGCATAAATAAAGTGGCCTGGAAAGACTGTTCAGTGGGGGCTAGCATGAGAACCTGTGCTCAGATTCCCAGCACACATGTGAGAGCAGCCAGTGCTTAGGGAGGTGTAGACAGGTAGATCCCAGGGGCTCACTGACCAGCCAGCCTGTCTGAAGCTGCCAGCTCCAGGTTCAGTGAAAGAACCTGTCTCAGAAAATAAGGTGGAGAGGAGGAGCTGGAGCATTGGCTCAGCGGTTAAGAGCACTGGCTGCTCTTCCAGAGGTTCTGAGTTCAATTCCCATCTAAGAAGAAATCTGGTGCCCTCTTCTGGCATGCAGGTGTACATGCAGATAGAGCACACATATACACTAAATAAATAAATTAAAAAAAAGAGTAAGGTGAAGAGACATGAAGGGAGATACTGGATGTTGATCTTTGGCCCCTACAGATGTATGCAGCTAACAGGTCCACCTGCATTGGTGCACAGATACATACACTACATTCAACTCACACATGCACGTTTATAGACAGATAGGTATCTACATAGAAATACAGACACAATACGGTGACTGCTGTTATGTATGCTATTTTCTATACATCCGACTTGAAAGTGATTCTTAAAGCCACAGCTCCCACTCCCACCAACATAAAGTCATCTGTTCCTCCATTAGAAACTAAAGTTTTTTAAATGCTCAGCACAGGTAAGATGTGATGTTCAGTTCAGAAAGAGAGTTCCTCACTCTTCCTCACTTTGCTCTCTTTTATTCTGAAACTTATTCAAAACACACTTATTCTGAAGCATCCTCTCACTCCAGTAGGTTACCCCTCAACATTTTATGTAAGTTAGTTGTGCTAATAGTCCCCTCTCTTTCCTGAGTTAGAATTCATGTCCCAAGATGACAGGAAGTTAAACGTATATTTCTCCCTTTTAAAAAAGCTTCCCTGCTTTAGTTTCCTGCTCAGCATTTGAGAATGTGGCTCTTGCTGATACCTTATCTTTTCATTTATTTTTGTTTTATTCTAGCTACAACAGATCAATTTCTTGAGCCTAATGCAAATAGTAGGACCATCCGTTGCTAATCTCCCAGACATGCATCGACTTCTTCAGCAGGTTCAGTCTGTGCATTTTGGGGAAAGCCAAGTATCAAACCCCACAAGGAGTGGTCATATTGAAGTCAACAGCAGGCAGAGATTTTCCGCTAAACCACAGTCCATGGGAGAGTGCACCAGGGAGTCTGGCAAGAATAGCTCACCAGACCATGAAAGGGTTAGCCAACCTGATAAGGACAGTAATGGAGACACACAGGTAATTAATTCCCACAAAGCCACTGTTAGGACTGAAGAAATAACTCAGCTGGCAAAGTGCTTGCGTTCATTTCCCAGAATTAATGTTTAAAAAAGACAGGTGTGGTGGTGCACACTTACAATCTCAGTGCTCTGGAGGTAGTGACTGTCAGATCCCTGGGGCTCACTGGCAGGAGCCTAACCTACTTGCTGAGTTCTTGGCTGATGAGATCCCTTGTTTTAAAGCAACAGCAACAACAAAAACAAAGCGAAAAAACTGTGGCTGGCACTGGAAGAATGACAGCCAAGGCAGTCCTATGGCCTCTACCTGCACATGCACTCTGACATTCTATTCTGGGTTTATTTCTGTCCTTGTTATATAATATGCTGACAGAAAGCAAGTTGGAGCAGAAAGGGTGTATTTCAGCTTTATATTTCTAGGCTATGGTCCATTATTGGAGGGTACAGTAGAAGGAATTGAAGCATATAGTCACATCCCCAGTCAAGAGCAGAGAGATGAATGCATGCCTCATGTGCTTGATTCTGCTCAGCTCCATTTCTCCTTTTTTACTCAGTTTGGGACCCCATTGCTAGCGAATTGTGCCATGAACTAGGGTCTGTGTTTTTCATGCCAGTTAACTTAAGTGAGACAGTCTTCCACAGACATGGCTGCAGGCCAGCTCAGTGCAGACAGAAGTTTTCCCTGGTGGTTCTAGGTTTTGTCAAATTGACAAAGCTAATCATTTGTAGTATGTATGTCCTACTCAGCTTTTTGTTATTTGAATAAATTTTATTTTAGTAATTTTTCTAATATACTATCTGTTCAAATCATACTGAATCTCATTTACAATCTAAGGCATTTATAATATATTTAAAATTACACACTGTTTTTCTTTCAGGATATTCCACATGGGAGTATTCCATTGTGTCAGTTAGCTGGCCAGCCTAAGATGAGAGGACAAACTGGAGCATCTCTGAGCATTGCACCCACTTCATGTTTTCATGCTCCTGCTGGAGATACTGGCCTCCAGCTTTTGCACACGCCAACTACTGTCCAGAAGATGCCTCAGTTGATTCCACCTGCCCAAACCAGCACTCCTGGCAGTGGCTTTCCTTTGCTTCATTTTCAGCCCAAGCATGAATTCAAGTCCCTTTCCTTACCTCTAGGAAAAATTCCAGAAGTTCCTTTCAGGCCTCAGGCCCAACCAAAAGAGGCTTGGGGATTATCTGATTCTTGCCAACCTCCTCTGTCTCAGAGAATAGTGCACACCACTTCTTCATCTCATTCAGATCCAAGCCATTGCAATGCTGAAGCCAGGAAAAAGGCAGAGGCCGTTCTCACAAATATGCCTAAGCCTGTGAACTTGGATCAGTATGTTGGACAACAATACTTGACTCCTCAGCAGGATTCATCAGTATTTCTAAAGCCAGAAAATGTATTTGATGTTAAACCAGGGCACCCTGAGACAGCTCCTCAGAATTCTTTTGGACTTCCTTTATTACATTTGCAATTTAAGCCTCCTCATGTATTCTCAACACCATCAGGAGCATCAAATAGATTTCCCTCAGTACCTACCAAATCTGACACAGAAGGAAAAAAATATCCACAGCTATCATTACTTCATTCATGCTTGCCCCCAGAGAATACGGTAATGACTTTTTAATGTGTTGACTGAAAAGATGAGTCCTGTTTTCCTATGCTGTAAGACTGTATGTTCTATAAGACCTCTAGAACATGTTTTGACATCAATTTATTTTGGGTATGTCTCTTAGGGTTAGTATTGTTGAGATAAAACACCATGAACAAAGGAACTTGGGGAGGAAAGGGCTTATTTGGCTTACATGTCCACGTTGCTTTCATCATTGGAAGAAGTCCGGACAGGAACTCTAGCAGGACAGGAACCTGGAGGCAGAAGTTAATGCAGAGGCCATAGAAAGATGCTGCTTACTGGCTTGCTGATCATGGTTTGCTCAGCCTATTTTCTTATAGATCCCAGGACCACCAGCCCAGGATGGGCACCGGTCACAATGGGTTGGGCCCTCCCCCATTAATCAATAATTAAGAAAATGCCCTACAGGCTTGCCTACAGCCCAGTCTTTTGAAGGCATTTCCTTAAGTGAGATTCCCTACTCTCAGATGACTTTATATATTGTCAACTTGATACAAACTATCCAGCACGGTGTGCACTCCTGTGCATGCCAAGAGCACACATTTGATGTTAGAGGACAGCTTTTGTGGACTAGTCCTATCCTGTAGGTTCTGGGAATCAGACTCAAGTCACTGAGCTAGGCAGCACTTTTACTTGCTGAACTGTTTTGTCAGTTCATTTCTTAAGATAATTCTTCTGGGGCTGGCGAGATGGCTCAGTTTAAGAACACTGGCTGTTCTTTCAGAGGTCCTAAGTTCAGTTCCCAGCAACCACATGGTGGCTCACAGCCATCTAGAATGAGATCTGGTGCCCTCTTCTAATGTGCAGGCAGAACACTATATAAATAAATCTTAAAGCAATACAAAACCCTGTTTATTGTTTGGTAGTTTAGCCCTAACACACACCTTTAATCCAAGAACTTGTGGTGTGCAGGTGTACATGTAGACAGAACATTGTATATGTAATAAATGAATCTTTAAAAAAAGGTAATTCTTCTGTTACAGACAATAGCATAAAAGTCATTTATTTTAAATGTTTTAGGTATTTTGTAAAACTACCAGAATTTAATTTACACTCTTTATACATATTTTTTTTCCTGCACAAAGAAGATATAAGGAAAATAAATTTACCAGGTTCTGTGTGTGTGTGTGTGTGTGTGTGTGTGTGTGTGTGTGTGTGTGTAGCAAGTGCATATGGTGTGTTTGAAGTTTCTAGCAATTGTGATACAATAATCCTCAAGTCTGTCTCAGATAAGTCTTTAAGTATATACCAGCTTGTCGATAGCATTCTATGTAACGAGACAGTAGCTTTATAAATACACTAAATTCCTTTCAAGACACTTCTGATATATGAAGCTCAGACTGCTTACCTTCTAACTTTGTCAGTTAGTAGTGCCATGCTAGGGTAGTAATGGAATAATTTGTTCTGTGGTGTACTTTACTGCTCGCAGATTCTACTGTGAAGAGAAATGGTCAGTCATTAGAAGAAGTAGTCACCATTCCTCCCTTTTTCAACATATCATGGACATAAGAGGGCATTAAAGATATGGAAATTTTAGTATTTTGAGAATAATTTTAAAAGTTTTTCATTAGAATAATGTGCCAAAATCCAAGTTCTTCTGACCCTGTTTAGGGATTATCAGAATCTGATATGCCCACTCCATCTATAGTCTTTAAGCACTACATCAGACATCATTTAATTAAAAGCCATGAATATTATATTTTCTCACAGGGAGGAAGATTTTATATGGAAACGCATGTTAGGAGATGAGGATTTTAGGGTGACCCAGTTGAGGGCCAAGGATGCAGCTCACTGGCTGAGCACTGACTTAGCATGTTCAAGACCCTGTGACTCAGTCTCCAGGAGAAAAAGCAAAAAAGACATATGAAACGCTAACAGCCCTCTAATTGTCTGAGATGGATATTCATTCTTCCTGTCCATTCATTGAATTTTGTATTCTGAATGTGTCTTAGTTTAATTTAAACAAATGTTTTCTTTTTTTTTTTTTCACCATACGTGTGTATTTGATTTGTTGTTCTCTTTCTGTAGTATAAGAAGCCCCAACTTATCCCACTTGAAAACCTCATGGCATTTAAGAGAAGCCAACAAAAACTAGCACATAATGTATTTGAACAAGGTGATTCTGCTTATCTTCAGCTTCTAAAGGTCAATGTGGAAGCATCTAAAATAACACAAGGAAAGAAGAGGTAAGTTCTGAATGAAGTGTTCACTGGTAAGTTGTATACCAGAGTCATAAAGATGGCTGTGTTTCAGTGCCTTCCTAGGGCACAATTCTGTGTAATTGGTAGTTTCCTTGTTTGTTTCCCTGTGTTTAAACTCGTATCACAGTGAGGAAAGAAATACTATTTTTCTTAAAGTTTCTTTCTTACCTTTCATGGGCTGGAATGTTTTTTTTCCATGTTTCTATAACAGAGTGAACAATTATGTTTTGTAGCACAAATCTTTGGGATCAGATAAAATTCCATGTATAGCTAAACACTTTGAACCATCATTTATTTTTAATAACTTTACCATGTATCCTCCAAATTGTTACAAGATAGGAGAGTTGGTGATGATAGAAATGTTGCAAGGCACTGAGAAGTATGCATGTCTTGAGATATTATGGTACAGTAAGTCTTGATTGATAAAAGCAGTCATGGTCTAGATCAGGCCATGATGTCTACTATTACTCTACTGGATCAAAAAACGAAGAGCACCTAGCATAGTCCTGTTTTGTTTTAGTTTGGTTTGGTTTGGTTTCAGACAGGGTTTCTCTGTGTAGCCTTGGCTGTCCTGGGCTGTCCTAGGAACTCACTCTGTAGTGGCCTCAAACTCAGAGATCTGCCTGCCTGTGCCTCCCAAGTGCTGGAAATAAAGGTGTGCGCCAGGACTGCACCACTAGTGTAGTCTTTGTCCTGCGGTGGTGTTTAGAATGTGTTGATGGTACTTTATGTGTACCATAAACTAGTTCCCAATGCTGTCCTGTCTGCTTTTGAGCTCTCCTTGCTGAGTTTTCTATTTAGTCTCTTCCTAGGTCTTAGTGGAAGTTTTTCATAGGGCTTCTGGCACCAGCTTCTAAAATGCAACAGTGAGAGTTTGGAAATGGCTTCGAAGGTATAAATCTATCTCCAGATTCTAGTCCAAATCAGAATACTTAATTCAGTGTCACCTGTAACTGTTTGTATCTATCAGAATGTCCTGTTGGTTTAATTAAATCTTAGTGAAATGGATTTTCCACAGTTGTTTTCATGTAGCAAGACACAAATGAGAACCTAGAGTTACTAGAAGGGAAACCATGTTCTACACTGTTGTCTTCAACAGGCAAAGCAGACGAGCTAAAAAGGAGCTGCAAGAAGAAAGAGCTCAGAAGCCAAGAAGAAAACCAAGTGTTAGTTTCCGACCAGAGGATTCTCTCATTAGTAATGAGTCAGAAGTCATCATGGACCCCAAGGTACAGGAGAGCTCCAGTAGGTTTTTCCCTAACTTGCATGGGACAGTTCGGAATTCCTTTGTGGCTGTGTAGCCTGGTTGACGGAAGTTTCAGGCTGTGGTTTGGATGGTCTGGCGTCATAGTACACAAGAGCTGAGTCCCTCCACAAATGGACACACTCATTTATGGAGGTGAAAAACAATTGAATGGCAAACTGAAAACTGCAGCTCAGTGCATCTGCCTGCTGACATGGTTGTGTATGATGTCACTCTGGGCTTTTTCTCTTGTCTTCATGCTCATGATGTATGATATTATCATTTTCTATCAAAGGCTGAGTGACTCCAGAGTTATCCAGATAGATTTATTATATAACCTATATTATAAATCATATCTCTCTAAGCATTCATCCGGTTTGGAAAAAAACATTAAAAGAGATACATAATTTCATTTATGTATATTTTTAAAGCCATGCTTTTTTATTGAATCCTCATGAGCATGTCTGGAGACACTTAATGAAAATGTGTTTTGAGTCCATTAAAGACTTTAGCAGGAAACCAGGTGCAGTGGCACATGCCTGTAATCTCAGCACTGGGAGGCAGAGGCAGGCAGATCTCTGAGTTTGAGGCCAGCCTGGTTTACAAAACTAGTCCAGGATAGCCAAGGCTACACAGAAAAACCCTATCTCAAAAAACAAAACAATAACAACAATAAGAAAATACTTTAGCAGGATAGGGCTACAGTTTGAGTGTCAGGTCTAATCTCTTGTGGAGACTTGTGCATATTAGTAAGTTCTTAAACTAGTAATACTATTTTTCATTACTCAACTTGTAGATCTCATTAACTCTTGTACAGTTTCTTTGACAGTTATTTTTACAAAATTTTATACAAAAATGACAGAAGCTAAACCTGTAACTAAAAATTCAGTCTTTATTATTTTTCCAAAATAATAAATGCCCTTGAATTATTAATAGATTGACTATTTTGGACTTCATTTAGGAACACCTAGGACATCATGATTCTCAGCCTTTGGATAAATTTGACATTCCTTTTGGTATGTATACAAATGATTAATGTAGTGTCTAAGTTCAGTGTTACGTCAGCTTTATAGCAATAATGTAGTAAGGCTGGACATGGTGGTGCACACCTTTAATCCCAGCACTTGGGAGGCAGAGGCAGGCAGATCTCTGAGTTTGAGGCCATCCTGGTCTATAGTTCAAGATCCAGGACAGTCAGAGCTATATACAGAAACCCTGTCACAGAAAAAGAGGAGGAGGAGGAGAAGAATATTGATGTGAAGATACATCATCACACTCTTCTTGTTTGTTTGCTTTTTATTCTTCAAGACAGGGTTTCTCTGTGTAGTCTGTCCTGGAACTCTGTAAATCAGGCTGACTTCCCACCCAGAGGTCCTCCCAAGTGCTGAGATTCAAGGTGTGTGCCACCACCACCTGGCATTGAAACTCGTAAAAGAGACAGCATTTACATGGGTCTTGCTTACGTTGACAGGTCAGTCCACTCTTATCATGGTAGGGAGAATGGTGACAAACATGGCTCTAGAAGAGCAGCTGAGAGCCACATCCTGAGCGACAAGCACAGAAAGAAACAAAGCTGATATGGGCTTTTGAAACGTCAGAGCCTACCCTAAGTGACACATTGCCTCCAACAAGGCCGTACTTCCCAATCCTTCTAATCCTTTTAAATAGTTCCACTCCCTGGAAACGAAGCATTCAAATATATTTTTCTATGGGGGCATTCTTATTCAAACCACCATAATTACTTTCCTATTCTGTTTGACATGGTAGAGGGTACTTCGTTTTTTATCCAGTAGATTAATGGTTGACACCAAGGCCTGATCTAGACCATGCCTGCTTTTATGAATCAAGTCTTACTGTATCATAACATCTCAAGGTTTTCAGACCATAGCAAAGTAGAGGAATTGCTACAGAGAAAATTTTTCAAGCTCTGCAGTAGACTGATACAGTTAATTAGAATGTCAAATAGAATAGAAAAAGGTCTAAATATGGAAATTTTGGGAGATTATGCCCAACATTGAATTTGTCATAGAAAGTACATGTATGTTAAAAATGTAAGAGTCAGTTCAGAACAGTGTCATTTGTATTATGCCATTTTTTAATGAATGACTTGTGAAGTACACCAGTGGATGTGTATTGTTTTTTACACAACAACATTTCTGTGATTCTCTGTATACTTAATTAAGTCATTCATGGAACTGAATCTTTAGTGCCTTCACCTCCCTTACAGTAGGTGCTAACCCTTTAACCATGTAGTTGGTTCCTCTGGTGACCAGCCTGGACCCTGAAGCTGTTTAGAGATCTGCCAGGATCCCTCATTAGCATAAACCCTGGTATGATCAACAGGGTCCCTATGAATAAAAAGCTCACTTTTATTTAAGATATATGCCTTATTCTAAAGGAATAGAAAACTTCCTGGAACTAAGAACAAAGACTGAACATACGTTTATTAATGCCACAACATGCCATGTTGTTACTCTCTTACTTACCTTGACTTCCTGGGCCATCTCCCTTTAGAATCTCCATCTAATTCAGACTGCCATAATATAAATAGGACGTTGATTCTGATCCTGCAGAGTTCCTCTGCGTGGGAAAAGTCCACTTGTAACTCATAGAGTTGGAATTCATTATCTTTCCTGCCCAAACTGTTTTCTTTTCCTATAATGTTCTCTAACTCCATTATATTAATATCAACAAAACAACAACAACAACAAAAAACCCACATTCTACCCTTTGCTCTCCCTTCTTACCCAGTAATCATTCTTAGCCTTTCTTACCTCCTCTGTAATACTGCTACACAAGCCTTATCTAATTGTCTTTAGTTTTATTCATTCAAATCTACTTTCCACACTTTGGATGGAGTGGATTTTCTACAATAATGATCTCATCACATTGCTTCTACTGGATCTTCCTTTGCTAGAGCAGAAGGCTCTAGGTTTGTGGGCATGATGTACAATGTATATGTGGGTTTGATTCACTGTGTCTTTAAGATGTAGTTTCTATAACAGCTCATGTAGAAAGTACACTTTGATAACATTCTAACTCCCGCCTCTAGTTAATGTGCTTCTAACAACATGTTTGCTTTCAATGACTGCTTTCTGTGTTTTGTTATCTTTAAGAAATGTTAGAAGCTGATATTAATACTTCAGCTGGACTGCATTTTATAGCCTCTGTGCATAAGAAAGCTGTGGGACATCATGATGCAAGTACAAACACAGACCCAGGTAAATACTTTAAAAATTAAAAAGTGCACTTAGTAGCTGGAGACATAGCTCACAGGTTAAGAGCAGCAGAGGACCAGAGAATCCATCAGTAGAATCCACCATATAAACAAGCTGGGGGGCAGGGTGGAGAAGCCCACATGATCATCTCATTAGAGGCTAAAAAAGCCTTTGAAAAAAAATCCAACACCCCTTCATGTTATAAGTCTTGGAGAGATGAGGGATACAATGTGCAAATGTAAGCATAATAAAGGCAATATACAGCAAGCCTATGGCCAACATCAAATTACATAGAGAGAAACTTAAAGCAATTTATTGAAATCAGGGACAACACAAGGCTGCCCACTCTCTCCGTATCTCTTCAACATAATACTTGAAGTCCTAGCTAGAGCAATAAGACAACTAAATGAGATCAAGGGGATACACATTGGAAAGGAAGAAGTCAAAGTATCACTATTTGCAGATGATATGATAGTATACCTAAGTGACCCCAAAAATTCAACCAGAGAACTCCCACGGCTGATAAATATCTTCAGCAAAGTGGTTGGATACAAAATTAACTCCAGAAAATCAGTAGCCCTCCTTTACATAAATGATAAGCGGTCTGAGAAAGAAATTAGGGAGACAACACCCTTCACAATACCCACAAATATAAAAAAAAATCTTGGTGTAACTCTAATTAAGTAAAAGAGTTATATGACAGAAACTTCAAGTTTTGAAGAAGGAAATTGAAGATGTCAGAAGATGGAAAGATCTCCCATGCTCATAAATCAGTAGGATTAACATAGTAAAAATGGTCATCCTGCCAAAAGCAATCTACAGAGTCAGTGCAATTAGCATCAAAATTCCAACACAAATCTTTACAGACCTTGAAAGAGCAATCGTCAGCTTCATATGGAAAAATAAAAAAACCCAGGATAGCTAAAAGGGTCGGGATCTTATCTGGCATGGTGGCTCATGCTAGCATTCAGGAGGTAGCCTCAGGGGATCTCTGATCACCATAATAAGTTTGGTCAGCCAGGGTTATTATGTAGTAAGACCATGTCTCAGAGTTAAATAAAATAAAATCTACAGTGATACTGTTTAAAAACTAAATTAAGCTGGCAATTTATTTTCCCATTACCTTTTATAAATACTATCAAATTATCTGCACTTATATATTTAATTTCCCTGTGTTTGTGAAATTCTTTCTTTTTTTCCCTCGTATATCTGAATTTACTACAAGATAAGGAAGTCACTTCCCAAGAAGCTGATTCTGAAAGTGGCAAAAATCAACAAATCATTTCTGCGAACACAGGTGTGTGATTTCTTTGTTCTCTGAGTTTGTTTGCCTTAAGTTATATCTGCATTAATGCCAAAGCTAAAGTCACTCTATCCCTTAGAAATGACAGCTTAACCAAGCAAGCAGCTTCATAAAGATAGGATGACAATTTAAATTTTTCTCGGATTTTAATGCTAACCTATGATTTAAGTTCAATCTTTGTTAGCAGTTTTTCAGTAAAGTCAGTATGACATGCATTTCATTTAAAGTAATACTTTATTAAAAACAAAATGTTATAAAAGTAGATTTGGGTCCTAGAACAAAAGCATAGAGTTGAGCTGTCTGTTTACTTCTGTAGTGGTAAGCCTCTGTATTTATTGTTGAATAAGCTGCAGTTAACTAGTAAAATTCAGATGTTAAAACATTTTAAACTGTAAAAGTTAACAGTGAGCCCTATGACTATTCTAAATCCGTTTTAAGAGTATGAATTATATCTAAGTGAAAATAAACTGTTTTAAGTTGCTGTTAAAATTTACTGTTAATCTTTTAGTAATGCTGCTGTTAGTCCTAAACAGCTGTATAACCAAATCACCACACAGAGACTGGGATTTATTTAATTAACCTAGAAGACAATGCTGGGCAATAGTTACTCCATCCTAAACCTCCAAGCCCTCAGTTTCCTAACATTTAGATTATATACTTGCTTTTTGTGAAATCTTAGGCCCGGTTCATTTTCTACGTCATTCCAAGACCACTGTTCTGCCTCTGCTCTCCCAGCCTCTTGCCCTCTCTCCCCCTTTGCCTCCCACCTTCCTGTCCTCTGGCTCCTCCCTCTCTTCCTTCTTCCTTTCCATTGCTCAACATTATGGCTGGTTGCTTTATTTTGGCATGTTTACATAAAATTGAGACAGGTGATGCTTAGAATAAGTATCACAGTGCAATCAATGTCCAGATTGAAACCAGAGAGTGGGGGAGAGAAATCAGCATTTGAATGAACAAAGGTAAAGTGTATACATTCCAAAAGAACATTATACCAACAATAAACTATTGAAAGTTTTAAAAATGTAGCTAATATATATGTTTCTCTCAAGTAAAATAATTTAATGTATTTAAAATAGAAATAGGAAATAACGTTCCTTACAAAATTTAGATAGTATTGTGTATGTATGTTATTTGTGAGAAAAGTAGGTTTTTGTCTTTGAGTATAAATTTTCCTATAGAAAATCAGACAGACTTACAATATAATTGATTGAATTTTCTTTTCTTTTGTTTTCTTTCTTTCTTTCTTTTCTTTCTTTCTTGCTTTCTTTCTTTCTTTCTCTCTTTTTCTCTTTTTCTTTCTTTCTTTCTCTCTTTTCTTTCTTTCTTTCTCTCTCTTTTTCTCTTTCTTTCTTTCTATCTTTCTTTCTTTCTCTCTCTTTCTTTCTCTCTTTCTCCTTCCTTCCTTCCTTCCTTCTTTCTTTCTCCTTCCTTCCTTCCTTCCTTCCTTCCTTCCTTCCTTCCTTCCTTCCTTCCTTCCTTCTTTCTTCCTTTCCTTTCTCCTTTCCTTTCTCCTCTCCTTTCTCCTTTCCTTTCCTTTCCTTTCCTTTCCTTTCCTTTCCTTTCCTTTCCTTTCCTTTCCTTTCCTTTCCTCTTTCCTTTCCTCTTTCCTTTCCCCTTTCCTTTCCTCTTTCCTTTCCTTTCCTTTCCTTCCCTTCCCTTTCCTTTCCCCTTTCCTTTCCCCTTTCCTTTCCCCTTTCCTTTCCCCTTTCCTTTCCCCTTTCCT